TATATATTTGGATTTTTATTTTATAGTGATTACCATACTCTCAGTTTCTCGAACGTCTAGGTATTACCTTAGCCATATATAACAAACCTCGTAGCTATGTGGGGGTAGGGGGGGGGGGCTATATAAATAATAAATCAGTTATAAGGCTGAAATAATAAAAAAAAGAAATTTAATAGTTTAAATGACGATACGATTTTAAATGGATTATATATATAGTGATAAGAATGTTATGCAAAAGAGTGTGAATTGATCTGGAAAGAGAAACTTTCGTTTTGAATTTTTTACATTTTTTTAAAATAATTTAGACCCTTCACATTTGGCCTATTCAATATACCAGGCGCGTAACCAATGGGGGAGAAAGGGGGAAATTTCCCCCCCATCGCAAATTTGACTATTTTCATAAATATCATTTTAAGCTAATAAAAATTTTACCCCTACCCCCCAGACCACCCCCCCCCCACCCCACCAATCAAAATTTTACAAATATTTGAATATCAATTTTCCAACATATTATTCAAAAATATTAATAAAATGGAAAAATATTTAGTCAAAGAGATTGAAATCAAACGATAATTTATAAATAAGGTTGAGCATGAAAAAAAAGTAATGTGTCGTTAGCAGCGATATCATTATTGAATTCAATTGATCAATCAGAGTTTATCATTACTGCTAGTTACATCAATAAATTATTTTCCTATAGCTCACTACTTTGTAGAAATTTACAAAAACCAAATTTAGATTTGGTTCAGGTTATTGATTTGGCGGAAAATATACATGAACAGGTAGATACAATAAGAATGAATGTAGACGTTGAATCGAATAAATTTTATGATATAATACTAATTAAACCTCGTCTAGCACCTAGGCCATTATTGAGATGAAAATAAATATTGGCTCAACTGAAGAATATAATAAAATATCCATTTTCATCCCATTCTTAGATACTTTTTTATCGCAAATAAAAGTACGGGTTTTAGATAAAAAACAAGTCTTTAGCAATCTTCAAGTTTTATTACCCAAAGATCCTTCTTCATTTTCTAATGCCACTATTGGTAAAATTAAATATTTAGAAAAATTTTATTCCTATGAGATTGATACTGAAATAAATTTAATCAGTGAATTCGAATTGTGGTATAAATATTTATACGTTTAGCTATTTTACCTGAGCATGCTATTGATGCGCTCAATCGGTGTAAATAAACCTTGGCTCAATTTCCTAATATTTCGAAGTTGTTTTATATTCTTGCATGTTTGCCTATTACAACATGTACGAATGAAATGACTTTTTCCAACTTGAGAGGGTTGAAAACATATTTACGAAGTACTGAATCTCGGCTAAATGGGTTAGCTCTGTTAAATATACACAGAGATTTGGTTCCAACGACAAACGAAATAATTAAAAATCTTGTATTTGATAAGAAGTTAAAAAAACTTGTTAATTTAATTATTTTCTAGTCAATATTTTAAACTACTATTAGTATTTTCAATAAAAAAATTATATTCTACTTATATTGTATGAGAATTTAAGCTGAGGCTAGTTTTTAAAGCAAATTTTATAAAAAAAATGACATTAAACTTTATTTCAATTTTACATTTAAAAAAACTTTATTAAATATATACCTATCTTGAAATAATAAAAAAGAGGCTTGTAATATCCTATCCATAAGCACGAATTAGTAAATAATAGTTAAAAATAGAAATATAATTAAATTATGAATAATTTAATAGAATAGCTAAATAAGACCCGGCCGTAAAAGGGGTTTGGGGGAAGGCCCCAAAAAATTTTTCCCCCCCTATAAGAAAATCCTGAATACGCCACTGCAATATACGATTGGAATAGTAATAAATAATTGCTATTTTTAAAAGATATAAATCTTGTAAGATATAGTTGTAGGATGTACCCTGCCTATATTCATTTATTTGATTGATTTAACCAATAAAAATAATATTTATAAAAAAAACATTTTTACTACCATCTTGAGCCAAAATCATGTTTACCATATTGTTTTGTCTAGCAAAGTATTTAAAAGCCATTAAATGGGGCAACATTTAATCCTTGAAAATGTCATTTTTGAAAATAGAGTCGTAAAATTTATTCAATTTTTAGCTGTAAAAGATTAACATAGCTGTAATATAATTTTGTGAATCTGCATTAACTGATTGCTTAAGGAGATTGTTATGTTCTCTGTTTTTTATGATTCTCCAGAATACTCCAAAATAAATGGTCTAAAAGTATTAGACAAATAGGTAATTTTTGCAATATAATAAGGATAAATTCCAACGCTTGGGGAAAATATGCCAGGCTATTTTGAAAAATATCGCAAAAACTTAGCTGTATTTTTTTAATATCTATAGAAAGTAATTATGAAAATTAATAGTGGGGGGGGGGGATTTACTAAGGCCTTTTGGCCTTTCACAAACCTAGCCGAAGGCCTGTACTTTACGAGCCAAAGGACCACAAAAAATTTTCTCTCCCAAAATAAAATTTTTGCCAAGTTTTTTAACCTGATAACCCTGATTACATAAAGTAATTATCCATAAAAAACCATTTTATACATACATTTTACGTAGCTAATCTTATTAATTAAATATAGGTTAGGCATGCATGGTAAACATAAATTGAATCTCAATGTTTTTGTTTAATATTTTTACTTACTTAACCAGTATAAATATCTTGTTTCTTGTAACGCATATTTTACCAAACTATTTTAAAAAAGGATATTAATTTTAAGGTTTTGTTTTACATCACTGCTTGAGAAAATTTCAGATCTATATATTTTTCTTCCTAATTTAAACCTTGAAAAGGCTCGGTTAAATATCACAGCAATCACAATTATTTATGAAATTAAAATTATTTTCTTTAACTCACCTCACATCATGGTTGCCAGGCAGCAGATATATTAACTCAAAAACGTGAGTTTTTCTTTTATAATAAATCAAGGCGGGTATCGCATCCTATACCCGCCAATTTGAGGGCCTTCGACACATGCTCGGCCTTCGGTCTGGTTTATCGATATAGCATACTCATCATACTTAATATGTTTTATATTTAATCAACAAGATTTTTAAGACAATATTAAATTAATATTTTTTTAATTGATTTACTATTAACAATTATTATGATGTATTATTTTCCCAAGTTTATAAATAAAGCATAATAATAATTATTATATTTTATGGATGATTTGAAAAGAGGCTATAAAGATTTTGCATCGGCGCTATAGAGATAGAGTGAAAACTTTTTACTTGAATAATTATAATTTTATAATCATAATTTCAGCTTCCAATGATGATAAATGTAATCTTTTACTTTTTTTCGCCAAGCAGTAGTCATTAGGCTAAATATTTTCTGCTGATGCCACATTTGAATGTGGAATGAAAAATATAAAATTGCATATTTTCTCTATTAAAGAAGAGCGAGTTATTACTTGAAAGGAAATACATCCATTTTCCCTGCGCACTCATGTGATTGTTTTTGGAAAATTTGTCTTCATAATCGGAATAAATGTAAATATTTTTCATTAAGAATATATCCATCTATATTTGAAATTTAAAATTAATAGTAATTTATTTAAATTCATCAAATGCAGGCATGTTCTAATGTCATAGAGTTAAGATATTTTCCTATATCATCTATATTATCATAACGTATTATATCCCATATATTCTATAATATTTTCTACAATCTGTGATTCCTTTTTGAAATTCTAAGCCTTTTATTCATCATTATTACGTTGTAAAATGTTTTTGGAACCTGTTAATATTTTGTTGAAATTTTAAATTCAAAGAATTCTTAATTTTTTTTGTAAGAGCGTGATATTGCTGATATCTTCAAATTGTAGTTGTAAATTTATGTTATTTAAAAAAGTGCTAACGTTAAGAAAAATGCCTAAATTCTTAAATTAAATATTGACCAATGAATATGATTGGTTAGTTGGAATATTAACAAATACTACAAATCTTTAAATATTTAAAAATAAAATTAAAAAAACTTTATATTTATTTTTATAAACATTTTGAAAAAATTTATTAGCGTAAAAAAAATGTGATTTTTTTTTAATTTGCTCAAAAGACGTGAGGAAAAAATGAAGTGTGAGAAAATGTGATTGAGTAAAAAATTTGATATGAAATCGTGAGAATCACGGCAGAAATTATTAGATTCATAAAAATATAGGGGGAATTTGTTCATAAAAAAGGGTTTAATGATGCTTATATGGTATGACAGCTAATTATATCGTCCTTTTATTGGTTATCCGATATAATATAACAAATTTAAGTAGCGTATCTAGAATTGAATTTCATTTTTGGCACTAACACTATATTTTTATATATATAAATTTTCTAAAACATGGTTTTTGAAAAAATAATTTGAATTTGGGTGATTTTGTGAGAATGTTTTATGCTATATTTCTGAAATTTCAAAAATGTAGTTAAAAAAATTTGTTATACTATTCGACCCAGCTTTACATAAGCATAGCCAAGAATTTGTTAAGGTAAAGGGGGCGGGGGGGGGGGGTCAATATTATTTTTTTTTCTCCCATAAATTTTAATGAAGGTATTTGGGTCCAAATGATGCAGACCTTTGACTATATTATATTTTTAAAGGATAATTTTAGTTTTTCACTTTTTTAAAAAAAAAATTTAAATTTTATCATTTGACTCTATCCCTAAGTTTTTAATATATAGATTTGATAATGATGCCAATCCCCCCTACCCCTCTATCCCCTTGGTTCCGTCAAAGTTTTTATAAAACGAAAGTATTAAGACCTGTACTTGAATGCATAAATATACAAGATAAAATCCTAAAGTATTTATTTGAAAAACAAATTTAATATCGATTTAATAAAAATAAAATAAAATAAAAGTTTGTCATTTATCCTGTGATTTCTTTTTTCAAAAAAAAAATAAAATAAATTTCATTAAAAATGATATTTTTTTTAAAAAAAATTATATTTCGGTTAAAATAATATTATAATATAAACTCTCCTAAAATTTGATATGAAAAATTTAAACAATAAAGATAGCATATTATTATACATGTTGCATCTTGCCATTCATCATAAATTAGATTTTTTTCATTGCATTCCTCTAAGTAGTACAAGTAAAATATATTTTTTTTTCATTTTTTCTTCCTGATTTGGTATAAAAATAATTCAATTTTTTTGTCTTTTGGTCAAATATATTTAATAGGATTTATGTCAAAATTTTACTTATTAAATTATTTTCATAAAATTGGCTTGAGGATTAGTATGAGTAGCGTTGGTAGGAAGGGACGCAAAGGGGCCCACGCCTACCAAAAACTTAGGAAGGACCCAGAAAATTTTTGGATTTTTTTAAACCTTTTTTTTCGTTAACTTCTATATAGATGAAATTTTCTTGTTTTTGCTCATTTTAAATAAAATTTGTTGTCATTTTAGAAAATATTTTTAAAAAAAAAATATGAGCTCCTCAAGTTTAGGTAAATTTATGCAGCTGGTTAGTGACAAAGTTCTGAGATTCGCTTAAGTTGTAAGAGAACAAAGAGAATTCTATTGGTAGATTTATTTATATAAAAGCTAAGATAAAGATAACACTAATAAGATTAGGGATGTAATTTTCCTAACTATAATTAGATGAGATTCATAGAAAATCAGGCAAGTAAAGAATGCCAGCCTCCTATATTTGATTAAAAAACATACAACACAATATCGAAATTTATTCATGTTTCATGCAAAAAAAATTTATTTTATACATTAAAATATAATCTAATTTTACAATCAGAGTTCGAAAAAAAATTGTAACGATTTTTTGTAGATGTTTTTTGCCAAAATTTTTGATCCAAAAAATTTAAGATTTGATCCTGAAAAATTTTTTATGTATAAAAATTACAAAAGTACCTATTAAGGATTTTTATACCAATTGGAATTTGAGATAAAATTTTATCAAAAATCCTATTTGAACATTCTCTAAAAATTGATCAATAAACAATAATTTGAAAAAAAAATCAGCAAAAGTTAACATGGAAAAAGCATTCCTTATATTAAAAAAAGTGAAAAACCAAGATAAAAATATAACACAGCCAAAGGCTTACAATAAGTTGGCCTAGAGATCTCCGATAATATTTAAGAGGAACCCAATAGTGCCCCCCCCCAATAAAATTCTAGTGTATACCTAAGTAATACAACTATTGCATTTAGATAAGTTTGTTATAACTATAGAATTAGGGAAGCGATATTAAAAATACCTGTATATCTAATTGCCATTAAACTCATAGTTAATCTAAATATAAAATAATTTCAAAAATTTAATTTCCATTTATCACAAAATTATAAATATAATATAATATTTATAATGGCTGATTTTTTTTTTTTAAATTGCTGTTTACCTCACATAACATTATCTATTGACCGTTTTGAATTATATTAAGATTAGGATCGTAAAAATCTCTACATTGCGAATATATATATAATAATATTTTGAAAAATAATATGTTATTTTTTCATGAACACTTTCGGAAATGTTTCCGACCTTGAAACGGAAATTTTTTATAACCGCAATGGGAACATAACAGAGAAGCAAAAATGCCTCTTTTTCCGAAGTCTTTGAATAAAAGTAAAAGATTCTTCCAAACTATTTATATAATTTATATACACATTTTACAGAGATTTAAAAAATAAAAAATAAATGTAATAAAAAATATGTTTAAGTTTGAATTCGTGACAATTAAAAGATAACACATAATAATAGCAATATTATATTTATTTATTTTCTTTTAAAAAAAATATTACCATAATAAATATCCATAAGTTAAATAATTTATTTTGCGAATCATTCAAAAAGTATCTATTTAAAGGAATAGCACATTTTTTTTTTACATTTTATCACTATTCTGTAGAAAATAAAATTGAGCCTTTACAATTAAAATATTTTAATTTTTAATGGTCAAAAATTATATCTATAAGAAGGAAATTTTTATGGTTGAGCTATGCGCTTACTTGGGTAGCTGGCACCCTCAAATAGCAATATATAAAAATACTAAAAATAATTAATTTTAAAAGAATTAGAATGTCAAAAGTTTCAAACATGTTCATATACCTTTTTAGTAGTATATCAGGGTCAAATATTCTAACTGTTCAGTAGGTTCGATAAATAATAATGGTACTTTAACGGTTAAGTTCAGGTTCGGTTTCTATCTCTGCCCAGGCGAGGTAAAACTGTAAATATTAGAAGTACACCAGTACTCCTTCCTATGGTAATACCTTAAGGAATAAGAATGATATTACAATTTGAGGGATTAGTGGGTAATTGACGTAGTAAATTAACAGAAAAAAAGCTTTCGAAAAAATTTTATGCCAATATAATCAATTTATGGGCAATATCGTATATGCCTAAATTTATAATAAAATTGCTAATTTTACGTTAAATAAACATTTGCAAAATGTCCCATGTTTACTATATAATTCAAGAATTAATTTTTATTTATTCAAATTCCCATATTACATGTATAATATAATCCTTTAACATTTTAATTCATAACAATTCCGTTTTATAACGTTTACTCTCTATAACCTTAGTTAAAATTTACAATGTTTATTTGTTTATAGAAAAAATGAATGTTAAAAAGATATATGTAGAGCAGGACACAAAATTTATAACTTAGAAAGAAAAAAAATTCATAATTATTGTATAGGGATTTAACCTTTTTTTGAATTTAAATTATAATTATTGTTCGATTTCTTCTTAACAAGATAAAAAGAAATTAAAAAATTCTGTCTTATTTCAATTTTTTATAGTTCTTTATTTGTGAAACTTTACAGTTATATTTTAGTTCATTCTAATGATTATAAAATAAAATTTTGGTAATTAAAAAAAAATAATTGTATCTGTAAAAAAAATTTAAATTATCAAATGTGGTTTAAGCTCTAAATGGCTGTGGGAGGTTGGATAATATAATAATTTAAGCTTAGTTTATGTCATCATCATAAATTTAGAATAGATTATTTATATCTACCCCTTTTATATATTTCATTTCATAATTGTCTTTACATTATCTTATACACACCATCCTTTTCTTATTTTATTAATATAGTCATAAGAAACTTATATTTTTGACCCATTTAAATTTAAATTTAAATTTAAGGGAATGCCACTATTTACTCATTATACACTAATATAATATAAGAGAACCATGTTATACGTTTAATATGAATATTTAATACAGAAGAGAATTTAATGTAATTACACTTGCATTTATTTGTCCAACTTTTTCCAAATAATTGTATACCTTTTAATTAAATTTTAAATTACCGCAAATCAAACTACCTCATGCGCTATTTTTTAGTCTCCTTGAAGTTTCTCTTCTTTGTATAAAAGGGGCTAAAAACAAAAAATTTAAAATAAATGAAATATATACATGATTATGCCTTTATATCGTCGCTTGGAATTAGAATATTCTATTTCCACTTTTTGCAATTTTACATGGGAGCAATTTAAAAAATAAGTTTCTATTGATTTCAATAGGATGGTTAACCTTGTATCGAATTTAATTGGACTTATTTTATAAATATTTCGGATTTTTTAATGTAAATAGAATGGTATAATTATAAAAAATTGTTTTATGTAATGTCATTTTTGACAAAGTGGGCAGAATAACCTCTAAATATACGAACCTATTTTATTTAAAAGGGTTAACTCTAATAAATTATATTGAAGTTCAATTATAAAATTAATGAAAAAATCGAAAACACTTTTTCAAGGTAGAAAACCCCGCTAGCTGATAGTTTTAAAGACGGGTTATGAGTCATTAGTTTTCTGGTACGGTAGAAGTTCGGGGAAAAAATTACTTGAACTCAATTTAGTGGTTTGAGTTAGTGATCTGCATCTGCTAATTTATCAAGCCCGACCCGACACAAAATTATTTATAAAAAATTTGACCTGCCCGGCCCGATCCCCAACAAATTTTCTTTTATTTTTCAGGAAAAACCCGGCCCGAAATAAAATATAAATTATTTGCCGTGTTTTAAAAAAAAATTAAGAAAAAATTCTACAAATAAAAAATATTAGCTCCTTGTTTCTTGGAAGAATTTTAAAATATATCAATATATTTTGACAAAAATGTTATGATATCATACTTGAAAATTAGCCCGGCCCCACCAGACACAAAATGTTTAAAGAAATGTTAGGGACTCCGGTTGGGTACGGGCCAGGTCGTGATTTACAGATCTCTTTGGATTACCCTGCATTCAAATTAGCGCGAATTCGGCGGTGAGGTATATAAAAACACAACATATTTTGTATACTACGCCGCGAATTCGCGCTAATTGTGAATGCAGGGTTAGTCGAATTGAGTCCAGAGTCTAAAAATAAATTCGAATAGATAAAATCTTTTTTTATTAAGATTAGTTTTCTCTTATTTATATATAAGTTTTCAACGATTTATTAGAACGATAATGAAATACGACAGGTTTATCTGGGAATACGGAGGTGATCCTGAATCTATCAATTTTTAAACCATTGACTGAAGAAAGATTTTTTTTTAAATCTGATTTACCGGAAATTAATTTTGACATCGTATTTTATAACTATCTAAAGTTTTCATAAAAAAAAAATCTCAATTTTATAAATTATTTATAATATTATAGATTTTTTTTTAACTTATAAAATTGAAGAATACAGAAAAATGTATGGCAAAATTGTTAGAAATATTAATGATGGATACTCTATACACTCTGAAGCTTATTTCCGGTGAAATCAGATTTTTCGAATTTTAAAAAAGCCTTAAGTATAAATAATTTAATATTGAGAGATTTTAAATAAACAGGGTGGAAGATTTCTGGTTAGCCCTTATTTCAGACCTATCACAAAATATATAATTGTAGATAAATTATTATATATAAAAAATTAACATCTCATAAGTCGAAAAATCACAAAAGGAAATTTTTTTAAAGAATAATTTTATAAATTTATTGGCGATTTCGGAATCTTTCTAACTTTATAATCATTTAGCGATTGCGATTTTTAAGATATTTTAAAATCCGAATTTAACGGAAAAATATATTTATAAAAGACAGTCTTCACTATAAACTTTTGTATTATATTTTTTTAAATATATATATGAGATTT